CAATCAACAGGTATTTATTCTGACAGCCTACTCTGCACCAGCACCAATATTTGAGCTATCTGTAGCGGCAGTAGTTCTGAGAGTGCACAGCCTAGATGTGGGAATGATCTTGAGAAACTTATATACACCCATTGAAGAGAAAAGAGGGTAAAGGGCCACTGGATGATATTAAGGTAGAATAATGAGATCAAGGAAACATTTTTATTTATTTATTTATTATTATTTTTTAAAAGATTTTACTTATTTGAGAGAGAGAGAGAGAGAGTGCGTGAGAGCGAGAGAACACAAGCAGGGGAAGCGGCAGAGGGAGGAGGAGGAGACACCCTGCTGAGCAGGGAGCCCAAGGTAGGGCTCTATCCCAGGACCCCAGGATCATGACCTGAGCCAAAGGCAGATGCTTAACCGACTGAGTCACCCAGGCACTCCCATTTTTATTTATTTTTTAAAAGGTTTTCTTTCTTTACTTCAAGTTGGGGGGCTGGGAGGAAGGGACAGATGGAGAGAGAGAGAATCCCTGAGTGTGGAGCCTGATGCAGGCCCTGAGATCATGACCCAAGCCAAAACTGGTCGGGTCCTTAACTGACTGAGCTACCCAGGCACCCAAGGGAACATTTTTTAAAGAAGAAAGCTAAAGAAAGGAAGGTATACAAGCTATTAAACTCTCAAGAATCTTTCCTAATCTGTAGTTCCCTTCCGAGTACAAATAAAAAAAAAAAAATCAAAGAAGTGTTAAATAGGAATCAAGCTTTTCAAAAAGAAAACTAGGAACACACACAAATCTCACAAATGTCACAAGGAAACAGTGAGGTCTAGAAGAAAATGGAAAAAGAAATATGGTTCTAGACTTAAATCTACTATGGTAACCTGAAGTGAATCATTTAGACTTTATATATGCCCAGTTACTCAACAGAAATAGGAATTAAAAAAAAACGGAGTTTGGGGGAAAATGCCAACATGAACTTATCAATATATTGAATACTACTGAAGAATATTTAAATATAAGACATAATTCCTGCCCTCAAAGAAGTGACAGTCAATTTGAATTCAAATCATACAAAAGTATTTAACTACTTTATTGAGAGTTTCAAATGAGAGAGTAAATACCAAAGAATATAATCCATATATGAGTTACCATGAATGCAAATCAGGAAAGCATATGCCACACTAGTTCTCCAGTTTGAGGGTCCTTCCCTCATGGACCTGAGTTGAGATCCTATTGACTTTAAGCTGAGTTCACTTAAACATAGATTACATTATATATCCAATACCATAATGCAACTTAATTGGTTTAAATTACATTTTCCAGAAGCTAGATTGAAACTCTGATGAATGAAGAGAAATTCTTTGATAAAATACAACCAATAACAAATAAGGAAAAAACTGCCAAGCTGTGGCAGAGTGGGTGACTTAACCTTTTGGGTGTATGAGTCTCCCAGGAGGAATTCTTAGAGGGAGAATAAGGACCAAGGGCATAAATCTCTTCAAGTGTTCCAATACACAATGACAAAGCACCTTTCAGGAATGGTACACCAATTCATATTCTTAAAAGTATCTGTAAAAGTTCTTGTCCTTGATGGAAGATAAAAGGTGTACTATTACTTTTGCTCGAAGCTGTTCCATCTGATCATTCGGACTTCTTTCTGCAAATGCCTGTTACTGATAATGTAGAGTTCATTATATATAAAAGAGAGACAACTTGTCACCACTGCAAAGGAACATCACCCACACCAACTTCATGCTTCCATATTATTAGAGCATAAAATTGTGATGAAATGGCTGACTGCAAATTCAACCTGTCTTCCTGCTATTTGGCAAATCTTTTCTTGTTGATCCTCTAGCCATGATTCTCAGCGGCAGCCTATTGTAAATCTCCTCTGTTTTCCCTAAACTCCAATCCTAGCCTGAATCCCTTCCCTATACAGACCTGTCAGACTCTGAGCATCCACAACAGAGCAATTCCCAGAGTCTAGAGAAGCTGTAAGAAGAGTAACTTACTACTAGACTGGCATGGCACTCCTTAAAAAGGCACTCATCAGGCACATTTGGTTTAAAACCCCATCTTGCTTCTTGTTCACTACGTGGTCCTGCACAAATGAGTCTTTCTATGACAGTTTCCTCATGAACAGAACCGCATTTAATAGCTACTTCACAGGGTTGACATAAAGCAAGGACCTAAGGCAAGGCATGGCATATGGCTGGCACTCAGTAACTGCTAGCTTCTTTCCGTAATTCCACATCGGTCTGCTCTTTGCCAGAGTTTGTCAGCTTTAAATGGATTTTTACACAGCTATATTTATCATCTTTTCTCCACTTCACTCCCATAGACAATGAGGAGACATCGATGGATCTTTATCACTACAAAGTTAATGTTCCCCACAACTTAGCTCCACCTCACCTCTTTAAATCCATCTCATATTCCTCCTCCAAAAATCTTTCTACCTTAGCCAGATTGGATTTAATTAACTTTCCTGACATCTTGAATACTTAGATCCATATGCATTTTTCCTCCCATTTGCACAACTCTCCAATTGCCCAAATCCATTTCATTGTTAATACACAGTATTATTATTGTTATTTGCAACCTTTATTGAGTGCTTTCTACGTGGCAGATACTAAGTGTATTACATGCAATATCTACTTCACAATATCTCTTCACAAGCCGCACAAGATATTCTATCATTTCCAGTACTGAGATAAGAACACAAATTTGCCTTTTTTCTCTAGACTCTATGCTCTTTTAGGACATGAGCCATGCCTTGTATTTTTTCCTTTGTATGATTATCTAGTTAAGCAGGAATTCAATGAATATATACATATATATGAACTGACTGCAATTTCACATTTTGTTTCGCTGCCATAATACTCACTTTCATCAAATCTATCACTCTGTCAGACTATAAAGTTAGTAAGAAGGTGTGATGTGATTTAATAAGAAACACATATTTGGTCTTTGTCCTTGCACATAGCTCCTAAAGTCCTAAGTGTTCAGAGCTATAAAAAGTGTTTTTTGACATGTTAATGAGGTGACTTTTGCAAAGCACCTAAGTAACCTAAGGATGTGAGGGATGGTTGCCAGTGGAGCCAACCATGTGATTAGAGGGTTAGAATTTTCAGCAGCCCCCCCTCCACCCCCCACCTAGGAGGAGAGAGAGGATGGAGACTGAGTTCGGTCACCAAAGGCCAATGTCATGTCTAAGTAATGAAGCCTCCACAAAAATCCCAAAAGGACAAGGTCTGGAGAGCCTCCAGGCTGATGAGCCAGAATGTGTCCATGTGCTGTCTTGCTGGGCCCCAAACTCTATAGGGACAGAAGCTCCTTTGCTTGGGGTCTCATCCCATGCATGTATCTCTTCATCTGCTATTGATTCATATTCTTTGATAGCCTTTGTAGTAAACTGGTAATGTAGTGAGTAAATTGGTTTCCTAGAGGGGGCTACTCTGGCAAATTAATGAAATCCAAGGTGGGCGGGGGGTGGGGGTCATGGAAACCTCTGATTTACAGTCAGTGGGTCAGAAGCACAGGTAATAACCTGGATTTGCAACTATCATCTGAAGCGGAGGACAGTTTTGTGGGACTGAGCCCTCAATCTGTAGAATCTGATACTATCTCTGGGGAGATAGTGTCAGAATTGAGTTGAACTATAGGACACCCAGCTGGTGTTGGAGAATGGCTTAGTGGTTTGGGGAAAAAAACACATGCTGAAATTGGTGTCCGAATCTTAAAAGATCACCTATATTTTAGAGATGTAGTATTTCTGGGACTGCATCTATCTGCAGACATACAGTAAAGATTCTGTGTATAGAGTAATAGCAAGGGCTGAAGCAGTAGCGTTTGATATAAAGAAATCCTTGGGGACACTAGGATTACGTCAGTCTGATCATTCTTGATTAAGGCCACTGTGAGCAATAGTGAAAAAACTCAAAGCAATAAAAAATTATAAGTAAGTACAAGCAAACAAAAACAAAACACATAATATGACTGCAAATTCATCCTTGTTTTGTAGATTACTTAAGACACTACAATAGGGAAAGAGGAAAGACTTAAGTCCTGTTTCTTTACTGGGTTTGTTGCCACAGTAAAAGCATAACTTCTCTGACATATAGGGCAACATCCAACAATATCCTTTCTCCCTATGTGAGAAATAACCATTTGGGGTGTTTACAAAATATATTATGCTTCAGGAGACTTCCTTAAATGCTATGACTATGATAGACAGAATTTATTTTCTTCTTCGATGTCTTGAGAATTTAGCAGAAAACAATGAAATCACAGCTCTCTGTCATAACATTATCTAGCCAAATCCAAAGACACAAGGAACACTTAAAGGTACCGCTAAAGGAGGAGCAAGTCATTTTCAAGTAATAGTTGAGATTAAATCACAAATAATGGAAAACTGCATACTTATAAACAAAATTATTAACTTTAAAAAATGAACCAATTTCTGTTCAACTTATGAAAACAGAAATTTTCACAACTGTATATGTTGTTACCTTTTTTAAGACCAAAAATGCTGAGATTTTCAAATTAGCTTGCTTATGATTAAAGCTGAAAATGAGAAAGGCTACTATGATCAAACCATATGCTGAATTCATAAAGGGGAATAAAAGAAGTGCTAGTGCATAGCACATTCCAGTGAAGAGGAGAGAAAAAAAGTTAATTAATTCAACTCAATTTTAGCTGAGGGCATTTTTCCACGACTGCTGAACCCTAGCATGTGCCAGGCAGCTAAAATTACACTAAAATGTGTAAGCTCTGTTGTTATTTTAGAGATAATCCAGGAAGTAAAACAAAGCCAAAAATTCTCACTGCATTTTTAACGTGAAACGCTTTAATCTTCAATCAAGTGTATCTTTATCTTCTGTTTTAAGATCTTTATATATTATCTCTTTTGTGTATGTTTGAAAGTTTACAGAGTAACAAGTGAGAACAAACAAAAAAGAATAACAAAAGTGACTTTACATGTATTTCCAACACATTCATCTTCTAAAACCATTCTTACCAGTCTCTGTTTCTGAAGTTCTTCTCTAAGTAGTCTATCTTCTGGTAAAACGTCACATAACAAAAAGTAATTGTCTTGTTCTTCTGTTGAGAGGTTAGGAAAATAAATAAGAAATCATATTTATCATTTTTTTCCAGAAGGATTTATTCCTTTAAAAAACACATATATGTATGTCCATTAGGATCTCTCCTCTGGTATATAGTTCTGTTTAGCTTTATTGAAGTTAGGCAACATAAACAGAGCAATTTAATTTTAGCTATCATGAAAGTGAGAGAATTCTAATTTAAGAAAGTAAGATTATTCATTTGAATTTTTGGATTGTAGGGAAAATATGGTAGCTAAGATGTATACTTACCAAGTGGAGCTGTGGAATTGATTCTTATCACACTACAAAAATCTGTAATGGGCTGTTCAGTGAACCTTTTCCTCCAATATAAAATGTACCTTAGAATAATCAAAAAGAAAGGACAGTAAGAAGACTCAATATACTACTTACTGTAGAGTGATAAGGTTTTATAAGACCATTTTAATTATCCCAAAACAATAAATCAAATGTTGACTGAGAACTGCTAGAAAATTTGTAAATGGAAAGGCAGTAGAGCATTGTAGAAATATGAAATAAATATTTAATGAAATGAAATTACTCTGTAAAGGCTTGGACATGATTAAACTTTACTATCACTAAATTCAATAAACAGACATATGAGGAAGTTAAAATGAATTATTTTTATGTGATAATGAAGTTTTTCAGAAATCACATCTAAGTTTATGTGAATTTAAAATGCAACAATGATTAAATAGGCCTTATCACACATTTTCCAATAAATTGAAAGCTGGGTCATTATCTTACACATAAAAAGAACTGAACGCAAAAAAATACGCAATGAGACGTCAGTCTAACTTCAATACCTACATGACAAGATAGAAAAATTTTGTATGTGCACAGTGTGTCTGAAAGGAGGCAGATTTTTGGAAAAATAGCCAAGCTTACAATTATTGTATCTAAAGATTGGAGTTAGAAGCAGCAGCCTGGGTAAATGATAAAGCACAGCATAACACCCAGACCTGCACTGTCTGATGAAAGGAGTAAGATGACAGGATTCAACAACCTGTTCATTTTCCTGTTTATCTAACAAGATTTATATTGGCAATTGCAATCTCATTTATAAATGGTACCAAGAAAAGAAGGTAGCTTCCTTCATGGGGAGAAGGGACATGGAAAGGTTGACAGTTTATCAGGCTATATGGTTGATACATAGAACAACCAAAAAACCCCAAAAAACTTATAGCAGAAAAAGAAAAACCCCTGCAAGGGATGGGACTTACTGAAATAGATTTAGTAAGAGACAGTAAAGATTTGGACATTTTAAATGGCTTGATATAGCAACTAGCAATGTTTTGTACATAGTAGGTTAGCAAGAAATGTTTTTAAGAGTAGAAGAGCATTTACAGATTCCTGTAAGTTTCTCTAAGTAGCCTTCAACTCTCACTATTTTGTCTCCTTTTAATTCTTCTTTCCCTTTTTCTTAACATTAATGTCCCAACCCCACAGTGCTCTATAAAAAGGGCATTCACGTATTTGAAAAAAAAAAAATGTGCTGTAAGAGAGGTCTGAGAGAAAGAGAGAACTGTGACAGAGAAAAATATAAACAGATGACAAGACTGAGTTTAGACAAGGAAAAGAAGTAAAAGAATAATGTATGAAAATAAAACCATGCTTTAGTTCTTTCTTCTCATGTACAACCACACTGTTGACCTGGCTGGATAAATAAGGGGAGAACTCTTTCCTTATAGAATAGTGCTAGACCTTATCTTAAGATATCTAAAAATGATGTATCTGAGGCTCCAACTCACCCTCAAACCATAACCACTGACACTATGGCTAGCTTGGTTGGCTTCCATATTAGAAGTGTCAGATGCAGAAGGCAAGTGCATATCGGATCCAACAATGGGCACAAAAAGAAGAAAAGTACCTACAAAAGGCAGAAACATTATTCTTTGGTCACAGAGGGCAGTGACAGCACTGTCCACTCCTCAGTATCTTACACAGCTACACTCATTCTCCTCTTTTCCATTCCCCACTACTTAACCCCAGACCAGGTGAGAGAGAAAAAGGGAGAAATAAAATGCATGAGAAGACATAAGAAAAAAAAAAAAGACACTCCCAGCCATCTTCCTTATTCTCCCCTCAGCATATTTTCTATTGCAAAGTGGTGCCAGGGATGAAGGAACGCAGGAGAACCTCTATTAGAGATGCCAGGAATAGAAGATGGATTCTTCCAAACCGTACTACATAGCCATCTATTTTCATGACTAATCAAATTCATACAGCAGAACTGGGTGCTGAGATGACAAACACCAGGACAGTCAAGTTCGATAAGGAGTTTCAGCACAGATACTGCTACAACAAACCATGGAGAGGTTCCTCACCCTGATTACCGTTCCACTGAAGACCATCTGGGGGATAGTCGATGTTAAGGGATCACTTAGTATGTCTTTTCTTCATGTTTTCTTACTACTCTAGTGTATTTAAAGCTACAGTTGTAATCACTCAATATTTAAAGGCAGCCAAGAAATGATACGTGATACGAATTCTTTATTGGGAGGACAGTTATCAAAGCATTTCATACTTAATTAAAAAGCCATAAGAGTAATTATTAGGTCATTAGCAAATACTTTTTTCTTTTGGAAGAATTTCAATCATGTTTCACTGAATTCTTTCCCAAAAAAATCCTTCTAGTAATCTTGCCCGCCCAGGCCCTCACTGTAATTGGTGTACTTACTGACAACGGCCTAAAGATTTGAGATATGGTTGCTAATTAAGTAGCACTGAATGAGTGGAATTTAATATAGAAAGGGGTAAGAATTAAGGAGTTAGGATTTATCTTCTGGAAAAATTTTATTTACTGAATAAAGCTAGCAAATAGTTCAGTATAAATAACGACGTTAAGTGGCTGAAAGGAAAGATTTTTATTTTTGTTTTATTCTGAGAAAGTTTTACTGTTAACTTTTTTCCAATAAAGAAAATGTTAAATATATTTAACATGAAAATTTATAGCTTCTTTCCTGTAAAGCACAAAGTCAGTCTATCTCATCTATTATTTATCATTTTTATTACTTATTGTACTCAGAAGAAACAATTCCTCTCTGAGAAGTCATATATGTATACACACACACACACACACACACACACACACGTAAATCTATACATACACAAACACATATATCCACCCCTGTGACTTTTCTGACATTAGGAAAAAGTCCTGTAGCATTGAGAAGATTCCAACTTAACTCTCACAGAGCCAATGTTTGTATTCTTTTGGAGAGGAATTTTTAGTTTTCCTAAATGGTAGGAGGGTATTATCTACAGGAGACTGGATATATTAAAAAGCACTTAAAAGCATGAGTTTATCACATACATTCTTGGTCAATTTGAACTAACCACCAGAGTGAAGCTTCCTGAAAGGACGGTTGACAAGGAAAATCTGGGTTTCCAAATTTAAAGTACATGTTAACCACACACTTTTATTATATAGAAAGTTCTTATATATATATCAGCTATGTATCTTTTGCTTTTTAATTAAAGCACCCATTTTATTGCATAACTGCATTTAGAGGGTGACTGATTCCAACATTTAATTATTGACTCCTGGGGCGCCTGGGTGGCTCAGTCGGTTAAGCGGCTGCCTTTGGCTCAGGTCATGATCCCAGAGTCCTGCGATCGAGCCCCACGTCTGGCTCCCTGCTTCTCTTTCTCCCTCTGCCTGCCACTCGGCCTGCTTGTGCTGTCTCTCTATCTGTCGAATAAATAAATAAAATCTTAAAAAAAAAAAAAAGTTTTAATTATTGACTCCTAAGTCTGAGACCTAGTAAATAATTTGATTTTCCTGCCCACATACAGATGAGATTAATATCAAAGATACAAAAGAGAGGTCAGTACAAATATAGCTACTTAGCTATCATACGTAAACACAAAGGAAAATACAAACTCAAATTTAGATATTCCTCACAGATTTAGGAGAAAGAAAAATCTCAATCATCACTGGCAGGTCATCTTATTTTTCTCCAATTCCTGAGGGAGAATTTGCATTTACATGATAAAGCGAAGTAAAAGAATAGATTTACATCAAAGAAAAGCTGAGTGATACAACTTATCAAAGAACAGCTCATTTGATAGTCCCATTGATGGTTACTTGACAAGAATTTGATATCTCCAGCCTAAGAAGTATCTAAAACAAATCCAACAGACATGACTACATACAACTAGAAATCATGTATGAGAATACTCCCAAAATACACACATACACACACACACACATATATATAAAAACACAAATATTTTAACGGAAAATAAAGATTAAGGAATGAGAAGGGGAAGTATGAAGTGCTTCCTCTGAAATTATGTAGTAATTGGTTTATTCTATCAGCTGATAGCATATATCATTCATATAACTCTCCTTCACTATTCTATCTCTGCTTCCTGACCAGGCAACACCAAAATTTACTAAAAAATCTCAATGCTGAGTGGATATAAGGGGCCATAATAATACAGAAAGCACTTAACATTCTGTATTAGTGCTAGGCAGTTGAGAGAAGGGTTAGAGAATAGCTAATATTACTACTGTAGGCAACTTAAAAACAAACTCATTCTCGAAGTTTAGCGTATTTAGGATCCTAAATTCAATTTTCTCAAAAGTTGTATTTGACAAATAATAATTAGACATTCAGACAGCATAAATACCTATAGAAAACTCAAGCTATAGTTGTGGAAAAGTAAGATTTCAAATATATATCTTTTGTAATCCAAATATAATGAAATTTTTGGCTACCATGTGGTGGATAGAAAAGATGTCCCAGACACTAGCTGGTGCTATACATGTCCTGTTTTACATAATACTCAACAATCTTATGCGAGATGGTGTTATCCCGTTTTACTGATGAGGAAACTGCTGCTTAGAGTGGTTTAAGTAGTTTGTTAGAAGTTACATGGTCAGGAATTCACCAAGTCTGCATTCAACCCTAGGCCTGCCTGGTTTCATAGTCTACTCTTAGTGATACAGCTTGCTGCTTTGCAAGACCCATCGTAAGAAAGAACTTGCTTGCTAGGAATGATGTGGCCTGGCAGATATATAGAACTTAGATGCAGAGATACTACAACATCTGGGCTACTGCAGTGTTTTGTAGGGAAATCAGGGCAGAGTATCTCAAAATGGGTCCTGGCCAGATATACCAAAATGTATGCTTTCAGTAACTGTACAAAGCCAGTTAGTTACCATGCTATTGTGTATATGGAAAATGCTTCCAAGTGTCAACTAATAACAACATGAACATAAGTGCTTCACTCCATCTGCTTAAGAAAAGGCATTTCTCTTGGATAATCACTTCTAGGAATTAGGAATTAGAAAATAATTAATAATTGCTTATATTACCTGTCGGTATGGATTCTAAGTCAGGTGCTCTTAAATTGTAGTTCAGCTCACTTTGGGTCCTGGCTATATAAGGGAAGTTCCTACATTTCACACATGCCCATGGTTGGCATTTCCTCAACCACTCACCTCTACCTATCTGCTCTTCATCCTCTTCATCTTCTTCCTCTCAGTACCCCATTCACTGGCCTCAACAGCTGTCTACTTATACCCCTTTGGCTTGTTGAATGACTTTTTTTTCTTTCTGGTTCTCAACCTCATCACAGCATTTAAATGGAGAGTTCTTTGTACAATACCCTTTTGGCCTGACAGGTTCCAACCAAAGATCCCCATTCCCAACAATGCTTCAAAAAGAAATGTGAATGTTCATATTTGCATAAAAATAATTTTATATATAAACTTACCTATAAGTTATGTCTTTCCTTTATGGAATACTGAATTTAATTCTTTCATGGACAAAAACAAAATTTACCTTTGGAAATCAGCAACCAACTTGACATCAGCTATGACCAACTTATGTTCAATAATCATGTGCTTCAGAAGTTTGTCTTGTTCATCCATAGGAAAATGTTCTTCACAGAAAATACAAGGCACAGATGGAGAACCTTCTAAAGCGGTGGTGCCACCTGGACTTTCTGGCAGGGAAAGCGGCTCCAGGATACAATCCTTACTGTCTGGGAGAGAGAAAAAGCAAAAGCAAAAGCAGGAAAAAAAAAAAAAAAAAAAAAAAAAGGAAAAAAAGAAAAAGCTGAAATCAACTCTTTAGGATCATTTCTCACCTCCTGCATCCTAAAGATATTTACGTCTTTCCAAAATGAAAAATACACAGTGCCAGAGAGCAGGATACTTTATTATCATTTTAAATAGATTCTGCAACCTAGAGGCAGGGAGTGTTGCAAAGCAGCTCAAACTTCCCATTTGCCGGCTTGAATGGGGGAAACCCATTTGTCAGAGCAGCTGTTCAAGCATTCTTGGACACTGGCCAACGGCAGCAATTCCGGGGGTACTTGCCGGGTGACGGCTGCAACATGCTGGGTTAAGGTTCTATGGCACAATTGTGACCTATGGCTGATAGTCATCACACTATGGGAAGTAAATGGTATATATTGAGGCTCCAGATGATACCAGGCCAGTTTTTTAAGCTGCTTCCTGTTGCACCTGCAAACTCTTTCCTGTTTCTGATTATTTGTCACATGCAAAGAAGACAGCTCTCACACTGGGTTGACACAGCACGTGCTGGGTGGTCCAGGTGGCAATTTTTGATGTTGATATATGTCTACCATTTGCTTGTTACACAATTACATACCATAATTCAAGTTCTTGTGAACAAAGAGATGAATGCTTGATTACTAGACATACATGGTAAACATTTTTCCTGCCGATACTATTCATTTTCCTAACATCATCTATGGTATCTTTAAGAGTTGAGCTGTGTAAGGTCTATAGTTCTGAATTCAGGCCTCAAACCACAGCCAGATGTGTCAGGAGCCCTCTTCAGTCTTCCAAGGAGGAAGGCTGGACCTGTCACCTTATGCAAGCTACTGAGTAGTAAGTAGGCAACTAGGGTGAGACATTTAATATCTGAGGAAGGGCAGGGAATCTTCTTCATAAAGAAAGACAGCTATTCCGGGGTGCCTGGGTAGCGCAGTCAGTTATGCATCCAACTCTTAGTTTAAGCTCAGGTCCTGATCTCAGAGTCGTGAGATCGAGTCCCATGTCTGGCTCCGCACTCAGTGCAGAGTCTGCTTAAGACTGTCTTTCCCTATCCCTCTGCCCCTCCCCTCCATTCTCTCTTTCTCCCTCTCTAAAATAAATAAATCTTAAAAAAAAAAAAAAGAAAGTTATTCCACAGAAATGTCTTTGGAATTAGCTTACTACTAATTTTATTTCTTGTTTTTATCTTTATTTCTAAAGGGCTTCTTGATTGCCTAATTCATGGATACAGTCACTGGTGCACTAATGACCATGGCCTTAGCACTGGGTAAGCATTCATTCACTCCGCAAAAATCAGCTGAGTAGCTACTGAGTGATGTTCTTTTCTGCCTAACATTGCATGATAGGATCCTTATTATCAAGGCTAATGTGCTTGCAACTTGTCTGACGGTACAAGTAAGTGGGAAGGACAGAGAGAGACAGAATGTATAGGGTCTGCGGGGGCATGGGGATAGGACTCTCCTATCCTAGGGGTGGGGAGGCGTCCCAAGGGACATGTCCTCTAATACATGACTCAATACTCTGCTCACATTAAAGTATGCTAAATTAAACTTCTTAGTTCCATAAAATTATTTAATACCAGAAAAGGTGAAAATAGGGTACACATGACAATGGAGAGAATATTTAAAATACACAAGCACTTCAAGAAGCACTATTAACAAAAGTGATGTGTTACCATTACATTTGTTAAATTATACAATGGAAGCAAGGAGTTTTGGAGTTCTATAGTTCTTCAGTTGTAGTTAAATTCTGTAGGAACTTAAACCCTCATGTTAAAAATAGGATGGGGGAGGAGAGGTAATATACTTATGAAACTATATTTTACATTCATTAGAATGGGGCAACAAAAGACAACACACTCTAAATAAAGGTACCATTAGTAAACATTACTGGCCATCTAGAAAATAAAAGGTACCACCCTACACCCTTCTCCCCAAATTTGAATGATGTATGTGTAAATTCATTTTGCCTGACTACAGAAAACAATGTATTAATCATCACCAATAGCAAGAGTTAACATCCCTAAGTGTTTGATATTTGTAAATTACCAGCAAAGGGCTTCAGGGCACTTTCTCAATCATAGCTACGTTTCCACTTAGTACTATTATAACCCCCATCTTACAGATGAGACTACTGAGAGTTTTTTAACTTTTCTGTTAAATCAAGGGGCATAAACATAGTAATTTAAGACTAAATTCAAACACTACACTATTTTGCCCCCAGTTCCAAAAGGCATTTCCCCAAATCTGTGTTTCTCTTTAATGTATACACTCAGTGCTATTTTGAATTCATGTGTATTTACAAGCCACACTGAATTTCTGTATATTCTGCCAGCGTCCTGCAGTCTCCGCAATACTACTTCCACCAACAAATCCCAGTAGTCCACCTCCTCCAAAAACCACTGGGTACAGTTTATCTCTGTCATTGTCCATATGCTTTCCCAGGGTTTCACTACAAATTCTCTAATATTCTTCTGTGGTTCACTCTCCTCCCTTTTGGATGTTCAATGTCCAGTTTCTCTTTCTTCAAATTATTCCTAAGAGAATGAAACTAAATGTTCACACATCCCAGAACCAAATTGCTTGTGGTTACGGTAAAGGCATACAGGAACAAAACTATAAATATGCAAATTTCATGTATAAGGAACTTGTGGTTTAGGAGGTACTAAGCTGTTTGGGAACTCAAGTTACTACATAATCCAGAAAAGAAAAAAAAATTTTTTTTAAAGATTGATTTATTTATTTGAGAGAAGAGAGAGTGAGTGTGTGCACAGGAAGGAGGAGAGAAGAACCTTAAGCAGACTCCGAGAGGAGTCCAGAGCCCAAGGTGGGGGCTTGATATCACAACCCCGGTATCATGACCTAAGCCAAAATCAAGAAGAGTCAGACACCCAACCAACTGAGCCAGCCAAGCACTCCCAGAAAATAATTTTAATAGAACATTTTGGATAATAAGATTTTAGCATTCTGACTCCTTAATCATTTAGCATCATGCTCAAACGTACAACAGCATCAATCAAAAGAAGTAATTTGTTTACCTACTTGTCTTTCTTTCCCCACTTCGGACTGTTAATCCCTGCAAGGCCAGGTGAATCCTGGTTGTCTTTACTTACCTGGCATGTACACTGTGTTACCGCACCAGGACTGCCACCAGCACTGTGGGCTCATTTTGTGCCAGGCATTGTTAAGCACTTTATATGTACAGTGTTAACTTTATATGTATAGTATTAACCCAATTGACCCTCGCAATAAGCCGAGGACAGAGATTCCATCTCCTTCCCTACTTCACAGTTGAGGAAACTGAGACACTGAGAGGCTGAGCGCCTTGCCCTAGACAGCCAGTAAGCGGCAGGGCCAGGGTTTGACTCCAGGCAGTCTGGCTTAGGCACTAGCACTCTTACCCCGTACAAAAGACGGAGGAAGTCGGGTCTTTTCCTATAGGAAGTAGAGCCACTTCTACGTTTAAAACTGCTTTGGGGAGAGCAGATGAGAAAGAGACAAGTATCAAGATGAGGGCACTGGCCAGCTGGGAGACTACTGCAGTGTCCAGAATGGAGGCAGCAATGCTGGCAGTGCTTCGACGGGATGGACAGAGGAGATGCTGCAGAGCTTAAACTGACAGTTCCTGATTACGGGTTGGCTATAAGGAGTGAAGATGACCAGGATGCCTTCTGAGTTTCTGGCTGGCGAGGCAGTATGAATGAGGGGTGCCAGTTACCAATCTAGGAATGTAGGCAGAAAAGCAGGGTTTTGTTTTGTTCTGTGAGAGGGATGGATAATGAATTAAACTTTAGATGAGCCCAGGTGACCAGCTCCAAAGTTAGATATTCCTGGCATGGCTGCTGGACAAGGACAGCAGTGACTGGAGTCTCATGTGATGCATTTGTGTTATTTTCTTTGTTTGCCAGCACCTCAACCCCCCCAACTCCTCTTGAGGTTTTGACTCCATCTCTCCATGCTCAACAAGAGCAAGTATCTCTGTTGTAATATGTGTCTCTAGGTCAGTATGAGAACTCCTCAAGGTCAAGGACTAAATCTTATTTTCATATCTCTAGTGTAGACTATAGAGTGCATGAACCATAGATGGCATTTGATAAGTGTCTGAAAGAATGAGTAAGCTTAGAGTTACTTAAAACTAGATTTGTACCTTTAACCCAGCTTCTAGGTAAGCCCCATTTCAGGAGACACCTGTGGCTGTCTGTCTTTAGGGGAATGAGAGCAGTATAGAATAATGACATCCAAATCTTTAGTGCTGTGGGCCTTGGTGTAATGAGCCCACAGATAATGAAGAATGATGTAAAAACTACACTAAATTCTAAGTATTGAGTATAATTAAAGTATGTTTAATGAGGAATTTCTAACTTCTTTTTAAATTTTTCATTGATACTGGCCAGTAGACAGAGACAAGAGGCATTTGGAAGGCAGAGTAAATTATACCACTCCATCAGAGAATGTTTCTATGTGAAAGGTCTGAATCTCAAATATATATTTTACTTTAGAGTAGTGGTTTCCAAATCTGTTTGCATTTCATCACCTGGAGGGCTTTTAAAAAGTAATGATTTCAAGACTGTATTGTGGACTGAGGAAATGTAACTTTTACCAAGCAGTAGTCCCTAAACTGAAGTCTGAGGATCAATGGTTCAAAGGATGATTCCATGGGGATTGTAGACATCTTGATTATACATGAGAGTACGGTGAACTCATGGAAAAGTCTGTAAATAGGGAACAGAGCCTTGTGGCAAAGCTTACCTGATACTCTATTCTGTCCTAAAGAGAGCTTCTCAAATACTAAGCACAGGGTCAGCAGAGATAACTCAGTAAGATTTGTCCAATAGATTATTTCTAGCTGCCACCATAAGAATCATAGCTACAACTTACTGCATGGTGAAAAAACAATAAATACACAAATACAGAATTCTTTGCTATAGGGACCTTGAACTTGAAAAGGCAAAAGGAA